CACCAGAGTTTAGAAGAATGAAAGGGGATCTCGTCAAAACCTAAACAGGACTAGACAAGTTAGATGTTGGAAAGATGTTCCTGATGGTGGGGAAGTCCAGAACCAGGGGGTCATAGTTTAAGGATAAAGGGTAAACCTTTATTGGAATGAAATGAGGAGAAATTTCTTCACCAGGGGAGTGGGTGAAATTCACTAACACAGAAAGTGGTTGCGGCTCAAATGTTGTATTTTCAAGAAGGAGGTGGATCCCTTGACTCTAAAGGGATCAAGAAATTTCAGGGGAGGGCGGTAGTAGGGTATTGAGCTCAATGATGATCCGTAATCCTATTGAATGGTGGAGCAGGCTTGAGGAGTTCAATGACCTACTCCTCCTGCTATCATGTATGTTTCTATGCAAGCATTTGATGTGGAAATTCAGTGATCTGACAATATTTTTTGAAAACCTAATTGAAGAGGATGAAGATAAGGATGAGCCTGACATGATTAGTCAATCATCTTTAGTAGAAATGCAACATGTAGATCCTGAATTAAGAACCATATCAAACAGCAAACTCAAAAATTGAATCAGAGCCAATACCTGTGACAAAGAATTAATGAGTAAATGGAGACCACCTCAAAAATGCCAGTCAAAGACGAATGTGTAGTCATCCATCAGATGGTTGTTCCTCTTGAGTACACTAGCCTACTGAGATTTTACAAATGGCTCATGAAGTTCCAACGGCAAGTCGTTTAGGTATTAGGAGAAAGCAGGTTAAAATACTGTAACATTTCAATTGCCTAGGATTACATAACAACATCGTGGAGTAGCAGAGAAACTCAACCATCAGTTAAAACTGCACCTTTTGTTCTGCTACCAGCTTTCCAAGAACCACTTAGTAAGGTCTTCGTGTGTAAGACCCCCTTACCTAAAACCAGGAGCGGGATTTGTTTATTTTAATAGTTACAGAAGTTTTGACAATATTTTCTGAAGCAACGCCTTTGGGGAGAATAGTAGCAAAACTCATAGTGGTGAAGTTAGTTCAACTTGTTACAAGATATGAATTACACGAAGAAATACAACTTTATGTCACAAAGCTTAAAAGAAGTAATGAATAATTTACAGATAAAATATTTTGTCTTCAGATTTTCACCAGCAATCTCAAGGAGCGTTGGAAAGATAGCATCAAACTTTAAAGAGGACAATTACAGTTTATTGTCAGAAATGTCTTAATGAAAGAGATAACCGCTTTTGGTAAGGGATGCTTCTGATGAAGTTTCCACAGGATTCAGTCCTTTTGAACTGGCAAACAGATGTGAGTTGAGAGCATCCCTTAAGTTAATTAAATAAAATTTATAAACCAAAACTCACAGACTACATGTCCAGCTTATGTGTCAAGTTTCTGAGAAAAACTGACCACTATGTGAGTTGGCCAAAAGCCATGTGAAAAGCATAAAACAAACCATGAAAATTAGAGCAGATAAAAAGGCCAAAACTCAGACTTTTATCACTGGAGACACTGGGGTGTTAGTACAGTTACCTGGAACCATTGGAAGCAAAGTTCACTGAGTCTCTTTTTGATTTAATAATATCCAATGATATGAATTATGTAGCGCACACTGCAGACAGAAGGAAAAGGAAGTAGGTCATGTTAATTTGTTAAAGTGACACTATGATGAGGAGAAGTATATTTGCAATGGCGAAAGAAATGCAGACTGAAATAAAAATGTCAGAACGATTAAAGGATAAATCAGAAATTAAAAATTCAAAAGTTAACCCTGCACAATCAGAATAGATAACACAGAGGTGCTTGAAAAGTTATAATTTTAAGTTATAACAAACGTTGTAAATTTGACAACTTGTTTGTGTTTAGACAAACCCGTGAAGAACAAGTCCAACTTCTTAATGAATTGTTTGATTGGTTACAATTTGGTCATCAATTTGCACGAAAATTGAATTGATTTGAATTTGAATTTTCAAAGCAAAAGTGCCTTAAGTGGGCAAATTGTGTTGCAAGGCACAATAGTACCAAGAAAAGCCAAAAATAAAGTTAATTTGGGTCTTCCCATGCCTTTAACAAAAAGAGAAATTTTGCAGTATATTGGAACAAGCTGATTTTATCAGATATTCTTTCCATATTCTGACACTGTAATGGCTCCTTTGACAAGGTTTTCTTCAAGAGAGGTATGAAATTTGAATGGACGAAAGAATGTCAGCGTCCCTTTGACAACTTGAAAGCTGTAATGACTACCGAGCTGGTAGTGGTGATAGGGTATCTGGAAATGTATTTATACGTATTTAAATAAGGTTGTTAAAAAATGAAGGTGAATAACTTAATAGTACTTCAGGAAACAAGGAGTAAGAGGAAAGAAAATTGGGCTAAGTGTCTCATGACACAGGGGGAGACAGACACAGAGACCACTTTATTTAAATAGAGATAGCCATCTGGACAGTTTCTTTGAGCAAGTGTGCAGGTTTCTGTCATCAGAGAACAGGTTCATTGCAGCAGAGCTGTTGTAAGCTTAGCCACTCCAGAACAGCCAGGGTGCAAAAAATGAAGTCCTGTGTGATTTTATGTCTTGAACAGACAGATCTAGGAACAGAAGATTATGGAAGAGGAGGTTAAGGAATCAATGTTAAGAAATAAATGAATTGTGTTAGCAGTTTGAGTCTCATGAAGAGACATTAGCTAAAGAAGCTAGCACTGAGCAAATGCTGAAGTTTGTTGGAAAGATACCAAATGCACCTGTGCCCACTGAAGAAGGAACTTTAAAGTGGAAACAGGGCAAGCCCTTACTGAAGTTTGAGTATGTGTAGGATTATTATTGAATGGAAAGCGGTCGACTTTTTACTTCTGATTGGTGTAATAACTAGTTCTTGTACAGTGTAAAATAGTTTATGCTTTTATCCTTTTGTTGAATAATCTTTGTTTTTTTTGTTAAAGTACATTGGCAGGCTCTTGAGAAGATGTTCAGCATCTGACCACTGTGGTACTCAAATTGTTAAAATTGTTGATCTTTCAAGCCAGACCTCACTCTGGAATTCTAAATTGTCTAGTGTTACTGTCAGCTGGAATCATGACAGTACAGGTTCTGTGCATAGTAATTCTCACTAGAGACAGACTGTCATCAGTGAGTGGGTTTCACACATGCTGAGTCTCAATGGGTACAGATTTCACGCACGCTGACCCTCACTACAGTCAAGACCAAACATAGACTCGTTACTGGGCAATGGGTTTCCACACATAACAACACAGTTGTTCCCACACAAACAGCGTCTCACTGGAGTAGGGGTCCCTTGCCAACTGACTCTAACTAGATATGGGTGTGACAAACACTGACTTGTTTCTGGGGAATGGTACCACACATACTGACTTGTACTAGGGTACGGGCCCCACACACACACTGACGCTCACTGGGGTATGGGGTCCCACACACACACTGACTCTCACTGGATAACGGATCCCACACACACACTGACTCTCACTGGGGTACACGGTCCCACACACACACTGACTCTCGCTGGGATACAGTGTTCCACACACACTGGCTCTCACTGAGGTACAGGGTCCCACACACACACTGACTCTCACTGGGGTGCAGGGTCCCACACACATTGACTCTCACTGGAGTACAGGGTCCCACACACACACAAACTCTCACTGGGTTACAGGGTCCCACACACACACTGACTCTCACTGGGGTATGGGGTCCCACACACACTGACTCTCACTGGGGTACGGGCTCCCACACAC